GTGGGTCCAATCTTGGAGAAGCTGACTTCACGAGCATTTGAAGAGGTTGGACTTGCTTCGGGCCTAAAATCTGATCTTGAGAATCTCGGAAGCAGGCTGACTACGATTCAAGCTGTCCTTCACGATGCAGAGGAAAAACAATGGAAGAGTGATGCTGTGAAGAATTGGCTCAGGAAGCTCAAGGATGCAGCTTATGATGCAGAGGATGTGCTTGATGAGTTCGAAATTGAAGTTCGAAGGCGCAGACAGCAAGACAATCTTAAAAGCCAAGTAAGGTCTTTCTTCTCCAAGAATCAGAATCCAATTTTCTTTCGAGTAAAAATGGCACGTAGATTGAAGAATGTATCAGAAAAATTAGAAGCCATTGTTAAGGAGAGAAACTTCCACCTAACAGTGGGAGCTGGGGACATCGAAGCAGATAGTTTTGATTGGCGTCAGACCTGGTCTCGGGTGAATGAATCAGAAATTTATGGAAGAAAGCAGGAGAAAGAAGAGCTAATCAATTCACTGGTTCACAATTCAGGTGATCTCTCTGTTTATGCTATATGTGGGATGGGGGGCCTTGGTAAAACAACACTTGCTCAATTGATCTACAATGAAGGAAGGGTAAAAGAGCATTTTGATTTGACAATCTGGGTATGTGTCTCTGATGATTCTGCTATAAGAAGGTTGGTAAGAGTCATGATAGAGTCAATTGAAAAGAGCATTTGTGATGTTAAAGAGTTGGAACTCTTACAGCAACGTCTCCACGACAAGCTAAGTGGAAAGAAGTTTCTGCTTGTATTGGATGATGTGTGGGATGAGTTCGATGATAATTGGAGTAGTCTGAAGGACTTGCTAAGGTGTGGAGCTAAAGGTAGTGCTGTTTTGATAACTACCCGTATTGAGATGGTTGCTCTTCGTATGGAACCAATTTCACTTCAGCACATGGAAAGGTTATCCGATGATGATTCTTGGCTTTTGTTTGAGCGATTTGCATTTAGGATGAAAAGGAGAGAAGATTATGTAAACTTGGAGGCAATTGGGAGAGCAATAGTTAAGAAGTGCGGTGGGGTTCCTTTAGCTATAAAGGCAATTGGAAAGCTGATGTGCCCGAAGAAAAAAGAAAGGGAGTGGTTGTCTATCAAAGAGAGTGAGATTTGGGATTTACAAGTAGAGGAGAAAGAGATATTTCCTGCTCTGAGGTTAAGTTATACTCACCTTCCACCACATTTGAAGCAATGCTTTGCCTTTTGCTCTATATTCCCCAAAGATCACGTCATCAAGAAGGACTGGCTGGTAGCTGTGTGGATGGCAAATGGCTTCTTTTCTTGCAAAGGGCAAATGGATTTGCATGACAAGGGCCAGGAGATTTTTACTGAATTAGTTGGAAGATCATTTTTTCAAGAGGTTGAAGAGGATGAAGAAGGCAACATAACATGTAAGATGCATGATCTTATGCATGATCTTGCACAATCAATTATGATACATGAATGTTGGGTCGAGAGCAATAGCAAGGTGGGCATTTCCAAAACAGTTCGTCATGTGGGTTTTTGGAAGGGATATGGTGCTTGTTCTTCTGATCATAAATGTCTCGATGTCCAATCATTGCGATCATTTTTTCTGCGTCGTGGTTATGGTATTGGTAGCTATGAAAGCGTGAGTAAAATTCTTGACTTGTGCTTCTCTAAACAAAAGCATCTAAGAGTCTTGGATATAAGTGGTTTTCGTGATGTTAAGAAAGTGTCCCGGTCCGTTTGTAGTTTGAAACAGCTAAGGCATCTTGATGTCTCCAGCTCCTCCATCGAGACACTACCTGAATTAATCACCTCTCTCAAAAACTTGCAAACTCTGAATTTGAGAAACTGCCGGGAGCTGCTTAAGTTACCGAAAGGTATGAAGCACATGAAAGATCTCATGTATCTTGACCTCAGAGGTTGTGATGCACTTCGTTGCATGGCTGCTGGAATGGGACAATTGACTTGCCTGCGAAAGCTTAGCTTGTTCATCGTGGGTGAAGAAAATGGTCATCGTATACAGGAGCTGGGGAGGTTGAATTATCTAGGCGACGAATTGAGCATAACAAATATTGGTAATGTTAAAGATTTAACAGATGCCAAGAGTGCCAATTTGATGCAGAAGGCAAACGTTCAATCACTGGGTTTATCTTGGTATAGGAATGGAGATGACTTTTCTAATAGCAGTGTTGTCCGGGAAAACATCGAAGGGGTCCTTGATGGCCTTCAACCCCATCCAAATCTGAAGAAGCTGAGTATAATTGGATATGGAGGTTCAGAATTTCCGAACTGGATGATGAACTTCAACTTGCTGGTACCAAATCTAATGAAAATTGTCCTAGCAATGTGTGACAATTGTGAACAACTTCCACCATTTGGGAAACTACAGTTCCTCAAGAATCTTGAATTACGTGAAATGGATGGGGTGAAGTGTATTGGAAGTGATGTGTATGGAGATGGGGAAAATCCATTCCCATCACTGGAGACTCTGAGTCTTTATTCAATGAAGAGCTTAAAGTTGTGGGCAACAGTTACTGGAAGAGAGAGTTTTCCTGTCCTTGACGAATTGAATGTGATTGGTTGCCCTATGTTGGTTGAAATGCCAATTGTACCTTCCCTCAAATATTTATTCCTTTACAATGTCGAAGTCACGTTTTTGACGAATTTCAAATATTCCCACAGGCTCACCTCCCTTTTTATTGATTCCATTCCCAATTTAAAGCTTCTACCCGATGGGTTGTTGGAAAACCTTACACTCCTTCAGCACTTGTCAATTTATCATCTTGAAAATCTCCGGTCATTGTCAAATCAGATATTAGATAACCTAGCGTCTCTTAAAACCTTACATATTTCGGGTTGTGGTGAACTTGAAAGCTTGCCGGAAGAAGGTTTCCAGAATCTCAGTTCTTTGGAGACATTGAATATAGCGTATTGCCATCGATTAAATTCTCTGCCAACCAATGGATTGTGTGGCTTATCTTCTTTTCGTAAGTTAGAAGTTGCGTATTGTCCTAAATTTGCCTCTCTATCTGAGGGAGTTCGCTATCTGACGGCACTGGAGTATTTGTACCTTTGTGGATGTCCAGAGTTGAGTACACTGCCAGAAAGTATCCAACACCTCACTTCTCTCCGATCTCTAATAATCTCATCTTGCGATGGGTTATCTTGTCTGCCAAATCAGATTGGATATCTCACGTCCCTTTCATGGTTACACATTTTGGATTGCCCTAATTTGATGTCTTTGCCGGACGGGATACAGAGTCTCAATACGCTGAAAGAGTTGTACATTGCATCATGTCCAGATCTGGAAAAGCGTTGCGAGAGAGAGAGGGGAGAGGACTGGCCTAAGATAGTTCACATCCCTAACATCAAAGTCAACCAGAAAGTAATCCAAGGATCCTTCAGACGTGAAGATTAGAGTGATTGGTTTTTGGAATATGATTGGGGATGCGACTTCCACTGTAATTTTCTTTCTCATATGCTTTTTTTCAGTAATTTTTTTTTCTTTTTTAACATATGATGCCAACTCCAGATAATGCTGTTTGATTTGTTCTACTTCTAATTATCATGATCTGCATAAATTTTGATTCTGAGTGTACTTGCAATTCCACATAATGTTGCCTCTGGTTGCCCTGTTCTAGCTTTTATGATTTGTGTAAATGATGATAAGTTGCAACTAAAATTCGAAGAGGATTGATCATTTAAATTTTGCTTTTATGATCTTTTGGTCCCCTCTGTTGTCCTGTTGGGTAGCTTTCTTGCTACTTCTTATTCTATTTATCTTGACGTTTCAGGGCTTGACCATGATTGGATTACTCTAACAACAGTACAGATGACAGCATGTCTGTTACTTACCCATCTCTGATATAAATTCCTCGCTTTGAGGATCTTCTATTATGGTTTGTGGGAGCAACTCGTCATCTCTATCTGGTCCCTCAATGTTCCTGTTAGGTAGCTTTCTAGTATTTCTTATCTTGACTTTGTTAATGCGTTTTAGCAACAGTTTCTTATTCTATTTACTGTTGCATAGGTTGGCAGATGGTGGATACAATATTCCAAAAATACCTTTCTTTACCTGTTGATGAGCAGTGGAGAATGCAGCACTATCAAATTCTTTCCACTGTCTTTGTTTTTCCCATGAGTCTCATTCTGGAGCTGACTGGGTGTTCGCAGGCTACTTGATGGAATGCATGGTCATGAATGAATTATAATAGAAGTATGGTTGCTGCCAAGGTGAAGATTTTAGGGCTTGGCCATAATTACTGAACTCTAGCATGGTAGGTTTGCCAAGCTATGTGAATATGTAGTATGGATCTGCTTCTGGTCAAGAAACTCAATGTTGATACGTAATTAGGCTTGGCATATGATAAGGGCTAGTTCTTCTTCTGTAGTGTTCTTTACTGAGGTTGCGTCAATTGATTATTGATTCTAATCACATTTTTTAAGGCTTGTTGATTACATGGTTTCTATTCTGAATTTGTGCACAGTAAACAATAACTTACTTTCTGAGTAATTACTGAAGTATATTGCTGCCAAGGCCAAGATTTCAAGGCATGGGCATCGTAGGTGGACTCTATTAGTAACTTTCCTTTAGCATGATTGGCATGCCAAGCTATTTGAGTATCTACTTTGGAGCTGCTTATGGTCAAGAAACTCTATGATGAGTCCTCATGAGTTTTGGCCTTTTCCATCATCTTATGGTCAAGAAACTCTACGAGTCATGAGTTTCAGTTCAGCTAGCGCTGGAGAACAGGTTTGTATCTGTAACCTAACAACTGCAATTAAGTAAAGAGAAGGTTCATCAGCTGAAAAAAAAATTCAGTTCGAACATTGAAAATAGTTTTGCGTGTCATTTTCTGATCTTCTTGTTTATTTTAGGTATTTTTAATCTGCATCAGCTCTTACAGAACTAGCGTGGTTGCATGGGTGGGATCTCTTCAGTTTTTTCATCTCAACAGGCAGGAAAGTCCTACTGCGCTGTCCTGGCAGTAACTGAAAAGATAAATGCTCGATGATGATTCAGATGAAGATGAAAAGGACAATGTGCATAAAGTTGAGGATTATATATAGTGATGGCATTAGATGATTTCTTATTTTCAATCAGTTAGTGGTTGTGTTTGGAAAGATAAAATCCAACTGCTCTCCAGACCCATGTTATAAATGGTAATGTAATTTCTTTTGGTTATTCTCTTGAATAAGAACATATGTTTGATTATGTAACAGCAGCAGCAGTTCATTTTCTCAATATGAATACTCACACAGGTTCTCATTACATGTTTTTTTTTTTTTTTTTTTTTTTTCTTGAGGTGCTAATTTGCATAGATTGAACTTTCAAACAGCATCATCAGCTTGATTGATCTGTTGATTTTCCTTATGGGAGAAGCATGATTATAGAAAGGGTAAAATTATTATGGTTGAACTTTCAAATCCATTATGGTTGTCACTCTTTTAAGGTCAAAGCTACGTGTATTTCCTGAATATGGATCTTGTTGCTCCAACAAGATTGTGCCACCATTGGGTTTTATTCTAAGTTGGGAATTTTGTGCCAGTCCAAGCAGAGCAATCTTCTAGCACCTAATAGTAAAATGTCAACTAGCTTTATTAATGTTCCTGCAATGTCCTTCTTGTTGAGGCAAACCATATGCATCCACAAGGTTTTCTTTATGGTGCGAAGAGGTTTTGCCATAAAAATTCACACCCACCTACACCGTCAATTCCCAGAAAATCTTCGTCAACAGAATGGTGGAAATCTCCAAAATATTTTATTCTGCCTTCTTGCGCTGCATTGTTTGGCGTCTGCCTTAGTATCTGCCTTGATAGATTGGAGAGAATACCATATCCAGGTAGCTTTCATACTCCTCTATCTTATGAAGATGAAAGGAAAATCTTTGAAGTTATTTGGATAGAAGGCCAAACGAAATTTCTTCCAAAATCAGATCCTAGAGCTATTGGCGTAGAGTCGATCGTTACACAAATAACTCAAGCCATGAATAGAAGACTAATGCTTGACAAAGAGTATAAAATCAATGGACGTGCATATGGGAGGGCTAGCTTGTCTGACAGTGACTATGTTCGGAAACTTATTTGAAACCTGCTACAGAGCATTTGAACAGAGTGTGATCCCTTGCAAGAATAGGATTGTTCTTTATCGAGGGTTGCTTGAAGATCTTGAGTCTGATGCAGATATTGCAGCAATAATCGGGCACGAGGTATGTTTAGTGTGATCATTTTATGGATTCTTATGTTTCTGTGGCAAAAATTGTTTAGTGTGATCATTTTTATTTTATGAATTGTGCATTAACTTGTGTATTTTTACTCTGTCTATATCAGTCATGCCACAGCTCGACATCATTGCAGAAATGATTCCCTTGACGATTACCTTTATCCTTCTCCTTCAACTATGTTATATTACGAATAAGGCCAGAGGTTTGATAGAATCCTTTCATGTTTAAGTAAAAATTAGGAGTATAAAATTCTCTTTTGCGTCATCTTACTGTCAAGAAACACCTCAAGTCCCGATATAAAAGATCCTATTGGAACCGAAACTGACTTCCCACGTTAATTTTCTTTCTCCTGTGCTTTTTTTCATTGAAATTAGTCCATGGAAAATTCATGATGTGAGTGTCCCAATTTCCAGATAATGCTGTCTGATTGCCTTGTTCTACTTGTGCTTTTCATGATCTGTATAAATTGATAAATTTGCGTTCTCCGTTGCTTGCATAATCAATGATGATAAGTTGTAATTTAAAATGTTATTGTCTGTGATAATCACTACAATTTAACTGACCTTGTTTTCTCTTGCTTGCCATTTAATTATGATTGCCCTGTTCTTTGTTTTTATGACTTTATAATTCTTTATAAATGATTTTCCCGTTCTATGGTTTGAATATTCAATGATGGTAAGATTTGATTCATATTATTTATAATTCAGCAAATCCTCCGTTATGTTCGAGACACAAAGATTAGAGTAATTCATGATCTGAGGGTACCGGCAATTTCACACAACGATGCTTGGTTGCCCTGTTCTACTTTTCATGGTTTATTTTAGCATTAATTCTGTTATGTTTTGCACATTCAATGGCGATAAGTTGTTGTAAGTCATATTTAGAATCTATGACACATACCAGAATTAAAGAGGTTTTGGTCGATTAATTTTTGTTTTGGTGCAGAATGAATAGCTTCTTACTTCTGGTGAAATTTCATTGCTTCAAGGATCTTCTGGTATGATTTGCAGCAATAACTCACCATCCATCTCCATCTGGTCCCCTGGATGTTCCTGTTAGGTTGCTTTCTAGTATTTCATCATATCTTGATATTATTATTGTGTTTTTGCATCAACTGATGCTTTTTAGTGTATTAAATTAGGTCACATTGGTGGATAAAATGTTCCAAAAATCTCTCTTGACTGGTTGATGAGCAGTAGAATGCAATGCTATGGGATTCTGTCAGGCATAAACTTGCAGCAGTCTAACTTGTCTTTTCATGAGCCTCATTATAGAGCTGATTGGTCATCTAATGATAATGTAGTGTAATTTCTTTTGGTTATGCTCTTGAGTAAGAACATTTGTTTTTGATTATATAACAGCAGCAGCAGTACATCTTATCAAATATGAATGCTGATTACCGACACAGGCTCTCCCAAAGCAAGGTTTGAACAGGTTCAGCCCAGAAATATAATTTTGGGGATTGCATTTGAGCTAGAGAGGTAAAATCTTATCATTAGGCCTGACTATGAAATCACTTCCTAAGTTGATTTTGTCTAGCATTGATCATGATTGATTTAATATTATTTTTATTCTATAAAATATTTTCATGTTTTCTTCTTCTTTTTTACTTTTTTTTTTATCTATTTCTTAAAACAAAAGGAAATAAAAAAAAACTAAATTACAAATAAATTTAAACATAAAGACGAAATAATTAATTTTTTAGAATGAAAAAAAGTGTTAAAACAAAGGAGACTGATATAATTTACCCAAAAGAAGAGTTTTTTTTTTTTTTCCTTTATCTATTTCTTAAAATAAAAGGAAATAAAAAAAAACTAAATTACAAGTAAATTTAAACATAAAGACGAAATAATTAATTTTTTTAAAATGAAAAAAAGTGTTAAAACAAAGGAGACTGATATAATTTACCCAAAAGAAGAGTTTTTTTTTCCCCCCAATTAGTGACACCTAAAACACTTACATAGGTTTCTAAAGGAGCTATGTTGTTTTAGTGTTTCTCTCCGGTTTTTTTATCTTAAGTTCTTTTTGTCTTTTCTCTGCCCATCGTGCATGGTTGCTCTGTTTTAGCTCCCTTCGTGTTTATTTATCTTTTTTTTTTTTTTGACATTTATTTTAATCATGCATACTTAGTCTTGCATGGATTTTAAAAATTAAATACTTTAATTATACCAATAGCCCAAGAAAAAGGAGCTATTTAAGGATAAAAATCAAACTTCTGATTTAATAAATAAATTAGAAACATATCCTCTTAATCAGGTTAGATAAAATGCTTACATTTAAATATTTTTTTCCTCATTAATCGTAAAAAAAATAAAAATAAAAATAAAATTATGTAACTGTTATGTTGGTAAATGATATAAGAATTTAGAAACCTTCATTGTGTGTTTTGATTGGTTGTAATTTGTAAATGCCATCCCCAAGTATTTTCTTGCTGACTCAATAAATTAAGGCATTAAAGCCTCCTCCAAAAAGAAGATTCGCTGCAACATAATGGCCCTTTAGATACATTCCCACAACTTTTTTTGGCCCAGAAAACAAGACCCGGATTAAGTGCATCTCCGGAATAATTTGTGTTCTTATGCACTTTTTATGTACGTAAGTTAATACTTTCACTTAATTTTATATAATAGATTAATTTTTTAATATGTTTCTAAATTTAAAAGCATCTCCAATCTATTTCTGTCATTTAAACTGATTTCTAATAGATCATTTTAGTTAAAATTTTCGATCAAATTAAACATGTGATTTGCATATAATATATGATTTGACAAAATTATATTTATTTTTATACAAGTGATCTATATATACTAATATAAAGATTAATTTCTGATGAATTGATAAAATTTTTTTGACTAGAATGATACATTAAAAACAAACTCAAATAACAGAATTTGAGACATTTTTTAATTTAAAGACAAATTGAAAATTTGACATATTTTAGAAAGATAGATGATTATATTAACCTTTTTATTTATTTATTTGCTATTGGAATCTAAGCTTATGACATGCTAACACATCAATTTATTATTTAAACATGTTAACCTTTGATTGATTTTATTGAATCGCATCACATCTAATTTAAGGACAACATCTAAGTTTTAGGGTTTTTTTTTTCACCAAATATTGTTGAACCAATTTCACCACATATGTAAAATAATAATAATAATAATAAAACCATACCAATTAGCTATAACTGAGCCAACAAGCACAACACTAGTGTAATTTTAATTACAAGTCACACTTAAAGAGAAGATCAACCTTTTATATTTATTGGCCATAGATAAAACTCCATTTTATAGTAGTTGGAATTATAAGAAGGCCTTGTTAAAAATCTTGGGCATGTTAGATTATAAGTTAAGTGTGTTATAAAGGAAATTTGAAATTGTTTTCAAGTGAGATTTTTATCTAATATTGAAAAGAATTGAAAATAAGAGGCGACTTATAAAGTAGACTTCTAGTAAAACTTTTAAATATTTGATTGAAGAAATTGGAGGAAAAACTAAGCTAATTGATTGGAATCAAAGACTAGCACTAAGCACTTGGCTAGTTATGAATAAACAAAAACTAAGCTAATTGGTTAGAATTATATATAGAAATTTATTTTTATTTCTTAATGTAATTAAATTCATAATTATTTTAATTAATTACGTTTTTAATTTTCTATTGCAATTGGTTAGTTATTAACGACTTTCAAACAAACATAGCAGATTGACCTTATGATTGTTAGAATTCAATAATTATGATTATTAGATTGTGACTATTAGAATTTAATTGTTAATTTTAGCGATTATGTATGTTATAAAAGAATGTCAATAATCTATAAATATGAGACTACCGCATAATACAAAATCAATTATTTTCTCTACAATCCTCCTCTCCTCTCAAAATTCTTTTCCTTCTAAAACTCTATAACTTTAAGATATATTCTCTTGAAAGAATTTTAAAATGATGCATGCAGTTTCTTATGCGTAAATTATATCCTATAAGTGAATTGTTAAAATTCTTATAGCATTATAGTGAGTACAATAATCACCTTAAAGTGCATTTAAATATTATGTAATTCTGTTCTTCTTCGAGTTAGTTTCAAATTTTGCAACAGAGTTTCCCATTAACAATCCTTGCGAGGTGGCATGTGATTTACAAAACACGGCGATGATGAAGCATGCAAGAAACAAATCAGTAGAAGAGAAGAAGTTTTCCAAATCTATTCTTACACTTGAAAGGACATCTGGTATGTAACCCGTCCACACTAATGACACCTCTAACCCTCGCTCAAGTATTCAACAGACACCTACAACGTTAACAACTCTTACACTTCTACACTATTGACACCTCACATCAATCACTTGTCTTTTTTTTCCTTGCAATTATCAATGGAATAGCACACATAGTCCTTGTATAAATTGGTGTCTCTAATATGTTCAATGCATAACGCAAACCAAACTAGTTAAACTGATTGAGAGTTATACTGCTGGAGTGATAATGGAAATGACAAGCAAGAAGGTTGGTTTGCTTCTAATGGTGCTTTTGTTTTTCGTGGCCATTTTTGGTCATTCTGCTTCTGCTGTGCGTCAATTGCCACTCTCAGATCCCATAAGTAACTTATGTCTCCCATCATTTGTTCCATGCATTCAAATTATCCAATGTTGTGGCAAATGCGTATTTGGTCTTTGCATGGCTATATAAGAAGCTATATACGCTTGGAAAACTCAAAAAGTTTTGTCAAGCATGCTTCTATGTACTTGTGTTTCTGAATTTCGACTGTTTGTATGGGGAAGTACTTGTTGGGCTATGAAAATGGTGGTTTGTGAATTTGGTCGTCGGAAGAAAGGAAATAAATAAATAAAAGTGGTTGTGTATTTTCTGCGTGCTCCATCTTTATCTTTTATTTTTTAATTTTTTTATCCTCCATGGCAGTGTATTTTGTTATGTGGATTTTCATCACAAATAAAGGGAATTCTAGTAAAATCCTGTATATCACAGTGGCATTAATAAAGTATAATATTGAAGACATGTTATTTACCTAAAACATCAAAAGTCCTTTAGCTGTTAAATGCCTGAATATTCATTTATGCTTTTATTGTAGATCCAAGTTTCTTTTATCAGTTTGGATTCGTGAGGAACCAATTTATTTATTGAATTATAATGCTAAATATATTTAATATTTTTACTAAGATTGTTTTAATGAATAATGTGGCAACATATGATTAGTAATTCATTAGTTTATATATTATATAATCGTCATTATATCACTAAATGTAATAAGATTTATATTCCATGATTTGAAAAGTTTTCATATGAAAAAATGCCAAGTTACTTATTTAAAAAAAAATAGAAAAAAATTTAAATACCCCTAACATTGTCCTCTAATGAATTAGATTAACAAATGAATGAATGATGGTATGTGAAGTGGAGAAATTTTATAATACACAAAGAGTAATTAGTGGTATGTACGGTAGTTACTCATTGGACTCACTTTGTAGAAAGAGATAGATACACAAAAAGAGAGAAAAAATAAAAAACAAGTAGTTACTCATTGAATCCACTTTGAGGAGAGAGATAGACACACAAAAAGAGAGGAAGAAAAATAAGAGAGAGAAAATAAAAAAATTGAACGGACGTGGAAATCTTCTTATCATTTTTGATGGATATGGATGTAATTTCATTCTTTTTTATGTATCTATCTCTCTCCTCAAAATGGATCAAAAGAGTAACTACTATATATACCATTAGTTACTACTTATGTATTATAAAATTTTTCTGTAAAGTGAGCATGCATGAAAGGGATCGTTCAGTATTCCAAAAGATTTTTACCTTAATAATAATAAGGAAGAAAATAATAATAAATCCTAACAGCCCTTTCATTGAAGAATGGACTAGACCTGACGATATAGATTGTCTCCGCCTATTTAAAAGAAAAACTTGTGCATTGATCCATAAATAAAATGGCACCATATTAATTAAATAAGTGGGTGATTATGAAATGCCTCATGATGAGATGATTTTATATATAATTATTTATAAAAGCTCGAACATTTTAAATTTTTTTGATCGACTATTATACTTTTAATACAATGTTAATTTTATATTATACTCCGATATTAATATGCAATATCAATCTACCTCCCCCACCCCCCACCTAGTACTTTAAGTTTTTGAACTGATATAATTCTTTTGACATGATCATATTAAACGATTAAGATTTTAAATCTTATCATTAATAATATAAAACACAATAGTGTAGATATTTGATGTTTTAATTAATATTGAAAAAAGCATAAAATAATGTCGATTTGTGTAAGTTTTAA